GTTTTGATGATTAGACAGGATAGATTATAGAAAGAAGAGTAATATGATGTAACATTAGAGAGAGAGGTTAAATATATATTTGTACTGATAACTGCTGTGAAGAATATCAGAAACCACTTCATTATCTTTTTTTCTTTCTTTTCTATTTTTCCTCAGTTTTTTTGCTGATGATATCCAATCATACATCTTGACCCTGGGCTGCCCAAGTGATGCTGTCCCAATTTCTGGAGGCAGAAAGTTGTTGAGCAGCAACAAACTCAAGATCATTTCCAACAAAACTGGTTGGCTGTGGGGATTTGGGCCCCCCAAGCCTGGGAACTTTCCATTTTTAATCCTAGATGGGGTAGCACTTCCCATTTGAGACTGTTGTGCAATGTAGGGATTTTCTTGGATTCACTGCTTGCAGGTAGAAGCTGTGGCCAATAAGGCCTTTGCACAGATTTATGTTGTATACCAGTTATAGCTGTTTTTGGACTGGGAGGCCCTTATGACCCTTATTCATGTCATAGTCACCTCAGGAGTGGATTATTGCAATGTGTTGTATATGGGACTGCCCTTGAAGACCACTCAGAAGCTATACAGTAGCTGGTCCAGAATGTGATGGCATAGGAAGTAATGGACATGCCTTGGTCTGCCCATGTGGCACCACTGCTCTGCAAATTGTACTGGTTGCCAGTTGGCTTTCAGATGCAATTCAAGGTGCTCATTACCACTTACAAAGCCCTTCAGCGAATAGGGCCTGGCTACTTAAGGGACCATCTATCTCTGATAGTTTCTGCCTGGCCTATATGATTAGGCAGAGCGGATGAACTCTGGGTCCCTTTGATTAAACCATGTTATCTATCAGAACCCTGTAAGTGTGCCTTCTCTACTGCAACACCTATCCTCTGGAACAGCATTCCCCCAGATATTCTATAGCTCCAACCTTGATGATGTTGAAGAAGACTCTGAAAATCTGGCTATTTCCCCAGGCCTTGGGTTAGGGTGGGTGCCAAGTCCCTGTAGAATTTGTTTGAGGATGTATTTTTTCTGGATGGACTTTTTTTTTTTTTTACTGTCTTACTGTTGTATTGACTGTTAGCATTGTAAGCCTCCCAGAGTTAGGTGGTCTCTAAGCCTCATAAACAAACAAATTTAATCTCAAACTTGAAATGATACTTACTGATCTTCCGGTTTTTATTTCCAGGTGCTGAAGGAGGACATTTATGCTCAACTGTTGAGATCATCCCCTTAGAAGAAAGCTATTAATTGGAAAAAAAAGTTACCAATGTAGGAATAGTGAGAATAATATCTTTAAAAAGCCTCAAGAGAGAGAAAAAGGCTCAGTTCAGCCATAATAGGAAATAATCATTTTAATTATATCATAAACGACTGATATTATAAGTCTTGGGTTCAGTACCTCCATTTCCATCCCCTTTCAAACACCAGGGAAGACGTTAGAAAACTACTTCCAGTTTTAAAATGACCAAACTGAAGAATCTCTGGTTTATTTAAATTTACTAGCAAATAAATTAGCCTTGAAAAACATAATTTGATCCTAGTTGAAACAAATCACACTCCCATGACTCAACCTAGAAGATCCTTTTCTATATTTTGGCAAGTGATTCTGTTTTCTTGTTATGCTTAAACTGAAACAAAAACTAAGCAACAGATTATGTATTCCATAGCGTTACTTAGCAGAACTTATGTTGTGTAGGCAGAAAGAATCTTATTCTTCTCTTCCAACCCATAGCTTCCAAACAAATTGGCTGGAGTGTGAAAGAACTTGTCTGAAAGTACAATTTTGTACTCATGTATCCAATGCCAACTACTCCATAAGATAAAGCTCACAATTACTAGAATCTTCCTAAATCTCTCTGGAAAAGTTCTTCAGAAAGAGCAGGAGGTTGCCAAAGGAAGAGATAGTTTCACTGTAGGATCTTCCTTTCTGATTAGGCAATGTTGGATGCCATCCTAAAAACTAGAAGTTTCAAACTCCACCAGAAATCGATCAACATTGGCAAAACTTGACAGAAGCCACTGAAATTCAGGTTAACTAAACATATATCAAAATGCTTGCTACAAATGATACATTAGAAAGAAAAAGCTGGATGTTCTCTATTTGTCCCTAATCTTTGCAACATTTCTAAGGAGAGCATCAGCTTCAAAATAATGTTCCTTTTAAATCCTTACTCATTTATTTTCCTTTAAGTGGGAGAAAATATCTGGCAGTTCAAAGCCTAACCTCTGAGCATCAGAATCCATCATGTGGCCCTGCGGTAGTACAAAGGCTCAGTGGTGGCTGTTAAATAATGGCGCTTGGTTCCACCGCACACTCAGCAAAAGCAATTGATGGAATGTATCCACCTGCTGCTCAGCCATTTCTTCTATCCCCATAATTTTCCACAGGGTAGAAATAAATATTGTCTTTACCATAAAGATTCCTTTAAAGTGACCTCACAGTCCACAATTTGCAACCAATTTTCTTGACACAAGAGTAATTTGAACAAAGATAAATATCTTACCTTAAAAAGAATGTATAGGATGTATAATAGGATCCCAAATCCATATATTGGGATGACTTGTCCTACAAGACCTCTCCCACTGCTGCTGCCTCCACCTCCTCCTCCGCCTCCACCCTTGGCTTTGGCAATGGCCTCAGCAAGGTGAGATCTTGGAAAATGGGGAGCAGGTGGTCTGACTTCTGGAGATATCTGGGGACGCGCTGTTGGAGGAAAGTGGCTACTGCTTTTTTCTGAAAAATCAAATCAGAAAGATCTATTTTGTAAAGAAAATAAACTTAATTAAAGCAAATAGTCCTGCTGATCCACTTATAATAGGACATTATTTTTATTAGAATCTAATCAATATGTGAACTGCAAATATTAACATGTCTAGTTATATACCATAAGCTAAAAGTAGCCATTCAACAGTGTTCTTACCAAATGATAATAATTCCATGAACTGGTAGCATACATTTTGAACTGAGAGTGGATAGTTTAATATATCTGGAAATGCTTAAAATTACAGTAATTAGCTATGATACCTACAGATTGCTTAAAACAAATGTTTGCAAGCTATATGAAACACTGCTGTCCTGCTTAGGTAGCAGGAGAGGTAAAGTTGAAAAGTTGGTAGAAAAGTTTGAATTGAACTAATACATTTATAGACAAGGAAAAGCTATAAACAACTAAAACCGTTTAATATTTTAGAACTCTTTGGCTCCTATGATCGATGAGCAAGGTATGGAAAACATATTTATTAGATTTATATCCTACCTTTATTGTGTACAACTCAAGGCAGCATAGATAATGCTCCCTTCTCCTATTTTCCCCACAACAACAACCCTGTGAGGACTTATTAATGATGGAACAATCATCCAGCCAATAAAACCTAGATAGTGTCAATATTATCCACTAAACAGTCTGTACAAGAATATCTTGCCTGGCTTCCAGAAGATCATCACTGATGCAATAAGACTAGCTTCCAAAGGTTTACATTCCATAAAACCAGGGCCACAACAGCAAAAGACCTCCCAGTCCTCATTACATTCCAAAATAACTAACAATTTAGGGGGACAACTAACAATTTCTCCCAAAATGAGTGCATCATGTGAATTGTTTCCACATGGAGAAGACAGTTCTAAAGGAATCAGGCACCAACTTTAACTTGTTTTATCCCATTCGGACTTCCAGCTTCCAGACATCGAACATCACCAGATTGCGATGTACAGCTGGGTATCACTGGCATATTTATATAGTCAGATGTTCAAATGCATGTGAAACAGTAGGAAGAAAAGACTAAGCCTTGCAGCACTACAGAAATGAGCAGCCACTGAGCCAACTTCTCTTTCCTACAACTGCCAAATTGAACTGCTCACTAACAGTGGAACCACTGTAAAATAATACCCCCAGTCCCCAACCTTCACTGCTAGTTTAGAAAGAAACTATGGCCAATGATATCAAAAACTGCTGTAGGACTAGCAGGGATGCAGTCTCACCACATAAGTCCTGACAAAGTAATCTACCAGTACAGCCAATCGATCCCATGCCCAGGCGTGAATCCAGAGTGAAATTGGCTTCCTTTAGAGCACTTTGTAGCTTTTGTATCACCACTCTCTCAACAGCCTTCCCCAGAAAGGGGAGATTGGAAATTGGTCAATAGCTGTCAAAGACAGGTGGATCCAAGGTCGGTTCTTGAAGAGGGGTGGAACAGCCTACTTCAAGACTGTGGGCATCACCCCTTCAAATACGACACCATTATATAACTAAACTCATCGAAAGAAACTGTTAATTCCAATACATGTAATGGTCTAATATTTAAAAGAAGTAATGACAGAAGAAGTATGGTTCTTTTTTGCATATTAGCAATATTCCACAGTATAATTGTTGATGTGAACTTTCATTTTCTCTCCACTGTATACCTCTGATATGAAATGCACACAGACATTTACTACATGTAAAAATCCATGTGTGAATCCTTACATTAATTATCAGCCTATGCAAGACTTCCCCAACTTGGATCCTGCAGGTACATTGGGAATACGGCTTTCAATTGGAATTTTATTGAGTTTTTAAAACAAATAAAACATAAACTTTCCTTGAAGAAGCTTTGTTTCCCCTCCCTCCATTTTCACTCTTCCCCAAAATAACATCATAACAAATAACAAATTTAACATCATTGAACTCTGGCATTTGGAAGCTGTTTCGGAGTTCTGCAAATTTTGGAACTTGCCACTCTCATTTCTTTATTTAAAACATTTCAATATCATTTTCCATTAACACATCTCTAAAGGTTTTATAATAAAATTCAAACAGTTAAAAACTAGTTAAATAATAGAAAAAAAAACATACATGTAAACTGCAAGATAAAATAAAGAATTAAAAATGATAATAAAGGCTAAAAACAGCAGTGAGGAAGTTAAAAAATATCACAGCATAATTAACCCATTATTAAAAGGCCTGGGAGAATAAAACATATCTTTACCTTTGTGAGAGGAAAATTATTAGTATCCATTAATATGTTTTAATGTTAATTTTGATTACATTTAATAAAAGCCAAGCTAGCTTTGATATGGCCTTTAGGGAAATAACAGGAAATAAGTAAACTTGCAAGACTAAGCAAACTGCTGATGGGAAAAGACATGACAAGGGTGAATGGAACAGGGAAGTACGGTAAAGTATGGTAAAGTATGGTAAAATTAGCACCAAGGAAGTTATGATTCAGTTGGAAATCCTGGGAGTCATGTCTGTGGTTTGTGGTTTTTGAGGATAAAAGGGATTGCAACTAAGGGATCAGGACCACTTGGTCAAGCTATCTTGCCTGATAGCTTGCTCATGATGGTCCTCATTGCAAGGTGAATCTAAGTGAGTACCTTGTATGCTATTGGTTGACTTTTTATTTGCTTATTGAACTAACATTTAATAAAGCTTTTAGAACTTTGAAGTGACTTATATTCTGGTGTGTCTGTTTCCTGTGTTTAATGAGGTTTTTCCCCTGACACCTTGCACCAAAAAGATAATGAAGATAGTGACTGGCATGCCTCATTCCACTTTTGCTACCACTGCCCACGTAGTAACACTATCCCTATAACAGCAGCTTCTGTAAATCTGGCATACTTTGGATGTTTGGGAATTAAAATATCTATACCAGGCTGGACATTCGGGGAACTGCAGTCTGAACACATCCAGAGGTTGCGAATGTTAATGTATGGGAGGCATTACAAAGGGCTTCTTATTTATAAGAGAGATGTTTTGATACTGTAAGAATGTTCTGCAATGAGTGATAGTTACTGAAGCAGTTGCAATATAACAAATACATCAACACTGCCACATCTGTTTTGGATTAAAGTGCAAGAGCAGGTGAATTCTTAGAAAACAGAGTTCACATGTTGATGGAAATATGTTTGCAATGGAGAGGTAACAACATGCACCATTTAATCCAGAGGTTTTACAGCATATTATTTATTCAGACTCATTTTGATTCACATACTACCCCGTTAGCATTAAAACCAAAGTCATAGCACAGCTGGAATATGGTTAATTGGAAAAAAATGGCTAAAGAGTTTATACTTCTATTGCTTTTTTCTGAAACCTTAGACAATCACTTAGCAATTTTTTAACATTTCCAGTAGCCTCAACAAAAGAATTTAAAATCTTCCATCCTAAATTATAATTTCCATCCTATTTTATATAGGATAATTAGGAACCAAAATAAAATTCCTGTACAGGTAGTCCTTAACTTACAATTGCAATTGATGCAGTTATAAAGCGCGACTATATCACTTAGTGATGTCAATCCCTGCAGTCCCGGTTGCCATTGTTAACTGAAGGAAGTTGCAAGTCCCAGGTGGTCAGCAGGCAGGTAGGTAAGTGGTTGGTAAGTGGCTGCTGGTGGGTGGGGAGGTGCAAGGGGGTGCGTGAGAGTGCAAGGGAGGCACAGGGAGGCTCAGGGAGGGTGCACAAGGGTGCACAGGGATGCACAAGAGTGTGAGGAAAGTGCAACAAAGCTCGGGGAGGGTGCACAAGGGTGCAAGGGAGGTGTGGTAAGGCTCAGGAAGGGTGCATGAGGGTGCATGGGGGTGCACAAAGGTGTGAGGGAGGTGCAGTGAGGCTCATGGAGGGCACACAAGGGTGCAAGGGAGGTGTGGCAAAGGTTGGGGAGGGTGCATGATGTTGCACAGAGGTATGTGAGGATGTGAGGGAGCCACATGTGAAACAATTTGATTGAAAATGGATTTCTATGAAAAATATAATCAGAAAATTTGAGAAGCAGCATTTTTCTTTCTTCTTTGGGAAGTTTATACATGTGCATACTGTATATATTCTGAGGTCCATTGAATTGAGAAAATCCTGGTTTCTGGGACTTCTGGGGGAGGTATGGCAAACTGAAGACAGCTCTGCAAAAGTGGAACTGACAACCATGCCAAAGACCAAGAAACCAGTGAGTAGACTGGTTCCTTGGAACCTCTCCAGATAAAGAGAGGATGTGGGATCACTGACATGTGCTCTGGATATCTGCTCCTCGCAAGGAGACCGCAGGACAGTGGTTTTACATGGGTTTGAGTGCCGGGAGATGACAGGATTAGCCATCTTGCTCGCAAATGCGGCAGAGACTTTGAAAGGACACTAAGTTTGCAAATCTCACTTTCTAATCACTTTCGGAAATTGCTCACTAACTCCTTCTAAGCTATTAGAGACCTTCAGACCAACAAGTTTGAAAATGTCAGGTGAGTCTGCCTTCAATCCTGAATGAAAGAAAATTTTAATCATAAGCTTAAGAATTTGAAGAATCTGAAATAAACAGCAAAAAGCTAAATAAGATATTGACCTTAGAAAGTTATAAATGGATTAAGGGTCCAGATAAAATTGGAATATTGAAACTTTTACAATACAGTTTTGGAATTAATTATAAAGAACAAACAGCTTCTCGTGGGAAATAGATTCTGTTTTGGTTTTTATAAGACATAACAAAGATAAGCAATTTCAAGAGTTTAAAAACTGGACATTAGAGGGGACTAAAGTTTTTAGGTAAAGATTTACAAGCCTGTAAAATATTGCAAAGCATTGTAACAATGAAAATACTGAAAGAGACTTTCGAAGAATGGAATCAGAAAATGGTAGCCACAATATCAACAATGTCAGTAATGGTGTCTGCTTCTATGGGTAGACTATGTCCAAAAGATGTTATTGGAGAAACAAATTTTATCTGACAAGATAGAGATGGTATCAAAAACGGATTACAACTTAA